GAATCACAAGTATGTACCACCCCACCTGGCTTATTTGTTGAGTTGAGGGTCTTGCTAATTTTTTTGGGCTATCATCGAACCTCCTTATCTCTACCTTCCAAGTAACTGAGATTATAGATTGTGCTACCACACCACGCCTGCCAGAGAATCTTAAGTTCATAATTGAAATTGGTTATTTGTGTAGGTTTTGCTTCATTATATTGTCATTTGCTCTTTTTAAAAGTATACATTGTTAGTTTTTAAGTTGTTATGTAAATTTTTTAAAGTTTTTATTTTACTCTGTTATCATATAACCTTACACAGTGTTCATAGTCATTCTTTTTGGCCATTTAAAATTTAAGTTTTGAATGGTAGCAAAACAGCTGAAAATGATGAGGCAGGAAGATTGTAAGTTTGAGTCCATTCTGGGTTACACACACACACACACACACACACACACATTCAAGTCTTACAGCTCGAGATTGAATTTCACAGGCCCTGGTTGTAGAGTTGAATATTCGTGTTACTCAGATTTTACATCCCATGTTTTTTGCTAAAGCTGTGGGTGGAGATGAGGAAGGACAGACACAGACTGTAGGACAGTTCTGTTCTTTTTTTGCGAGCACTTAAACTCAGGGTCTTCACCTTAAGCCACTCCATCAGCCCTCTATTTGTGAAGGGTTTTTTGAGATAGGCTCTTGTGGAACTATTTGCCTGGGCCGGCTTCAAACTGCTATCTGCCTGATCACTGCTTCGTGAGTAGCTAGGATTAAGTCACCTGCGCCTGGCTGTAGGACAGTTCTTTATCATACATATTTCGCTTACTCCTATGTTTTGAAGACATACTTCTATTGGGTGCTTATGTTATATTCTTATTATAGTTCTATGTTTTTCTACCAGTTGTATCAGTGAAGAATTCTATTATATATTTAAGTAATTTTTCTCTTGTGGTTTCATAAACTTTGTAAGATTGGTTCTAAATAACTGATGGTTGGTTGGAGTTATAAATGATCAATATGTCAATGATGAATATGTCAAAAAGAATAAGTCTGGCTTGCTGTGGCTTCTGTCATTGAATTGTCTTTTCCATTGGATTTCAGCTGTGGGGCAACTTATTATTTATTTTCTGTACTTATCCAAAATTTTGTTGTCTCTGACTTATGATTTCGGTCTCATCATTTTTCCCCTTCACAATTTCTGAATATGTTTCCTTCTTGAATTTCCACCTGTGTAACAGTGGCAGTTGTGCACTTCTCATTTTTCAAAAATTAAGGACAAGAGGTTAAATCTCTAAATTTATTATCACCCTTAATTTTCAATTTTTTTTATAATGTTTTGTTTTGTTTGATGGCACTAGGGTTTGATCTTTTGTGCTAGTTGAGCCATACCCCCAACCCTTTTTTTGCTTTAGTTATATTTTAGGTAGGGTCTTATGTTTGGGAACCTGTAACTATGATCTCCCATGTAGCTGGGATCACTGGCACATATCAGCATGCCCAGCTTATGGATTGTGGTTAGGTCTGACTAACTTTTTGCCTAGGCTGGCTTCAGACCATTGGGAGGATCACTATCATCCTGATGTGTGCCTCCTGAGTAGCTGGGATTTCAGGTATAAACCACTGTACCTGGCCTTTGATTTTAAATGTTTTAATGTAAGTTTCATATGTTTTGAGGATAGAAAATTTGACATGTATCTAGTAGTAGTCTCTGTCAGTCTCTTTCTAATTTGACCCTAGATTCTTGCCATGTTAATGTAGCTTGCTTTATTATTTCCTTTCCTCTTATGCAAAAATAATATACTTAATAAATTTTGAACAGTGTACCATTCTGTGGCTACATGATTCCAAAGCTAACCATACTGTTTGACTTTAACCAGTTTGGTGCTATAGATTTGGCTAGGTGATTCCATCTAGAAATGCTGCTTTACAGAAAATACACGTGCATCATGTGACTGTGCTGCATGTAGGAAATAGAGCCTCACGCCATTGGCTGACGTTTCTCTTAACTTTGCAAATTTTATACTTTCAAGTAATGTTTTAAAATATAACTTGCTTAAAAATAATTAAATAAATCTTATTTAAACATAATTTTATTTGACATTGTGGTAAGCTTTGACAAAGAACATTATTTCTATTGATATTCTTTCTGCTTTGTGTGAAGTTTTTTCCATTTAAATTGAGCCCTTTTGACTGGTAACCAGAATATATAGGGAACTCAAAAACTAAACTCTCCCAAAGTTAACGAACCAATAAAGAAATGGGCAACTGAACTAAACAGAACTTTCTCAAAAGAAGAAATTCAGATGGCCAAAAAACACATGAAAAAATGCTCACCATCTCTAGCAATAAAGGAAATGCAAATCGAAACCACACTTCATCTCACCCCTGTTAGGATAGCCATCATTAGGAACACCAACAACAACAGGTGTTGGCAAGGATGTGGGGAAAAAGGAACCCTCGTACCTGCTGGTAGGAATGCAAACTAGTGCAACCAGTCTGGAAAAAAATTTGGAGGATTCTTAAAAATCTAAACATAGATCTGCCATATGATCCAGCAATTCCACTCCTGGGGATATACCCAAAGAAATGTGATACAAGTTACTCCAAAGGCACTTGTACACCCATGTTTATTGCAGCACTGTTCACAATAGCCAAGTTATGGAAACAGCCAAGACGCCCTACTACTGATGAATGGATTAAGAAAATGTGGTATTTATACACAATAGGATTTTACTCATCCATGAAGAAGAATGAAATCTTGTCATTTGCAAGTAGATAGATGGAACTGGAGAACA